TAATAATAATAAAAGAAAAATAACCAGCATCAATGTAGTAGGGTTCCAGTTTCTCCACATCCAATGCTTGCTATTATTTGATTCTTCTTCTTTTTTTTTTTTTTTTTGCCCAGGCTAGAGTGATTGCCGTGGTGTCAGCCTAGCTCACAGCAACCTCAAACTCCTGGGCTCAAGCAATCCTGCTGTCTCAGCTTCCTGAGTAGCTGGGACTACAGGCATGAGCCACCATGCCTGGCTAATTTTTTCTACATATTTTTAGTTGGCTAATTAATTTCTTTCGATTTTATAGTAGAGATGGGGTCTCGCTCTTGCTCAGGCTGGTTTTGAACTGCTGACCTCGAGCGATCTGCCCGCCTCAGCCTCCCAGAGTGCTAGGATTACAGGTGTGAGCCACCGCGCAGCCTGAATCTTCTACTATAGCTGTTCTAGTAGGTTAAATTGGTATCTCATTGTGGTTTTGATTTGCATTTCTCTGATGGCTAATGATGTTGAGCATCTTTTCTTGTGTTTATTGGTCATTTTTATGTCTTCTTTGAAAAAATGTCTATTTTTGTCCATTTAAAAATTGGATTATTTGTCCTTTTATTATTTATTATGAGATTTCTTTATATAATCTAGAAGCAAGTTTGTTGTCAGGTATGTAATTTGCAAAAGTTTCTCCATTTTATGGGTTTTCTTCACTTTCTTGATGGTATTCTTTCTTAGAAGCACAAAATTTAAATTTTGATGTCCAGTCATTTTTCTTTTGTCATTTGTGCTTTTGGTGTCATAACTAAGAAATCATTGCTTAAGCCAATGCTATGAAAATTTACACCTGTGGAGCGCCACCCAGGGACCCCCCCCCAAAAAAAGATTTACACTGTGCTTTTTCTTTTATTTTTTTTCTTTTTTTTTCTTTTTAGAGAGAGTCTCACTCTGTTGCCTAGGCCTGAGTGCAGTGGTGTGACTGTAGCTCACTATAACCTTGAACTCCTGGACCCACGCCAACCTCCCATCTCAGCCTCTCGAGTAGCTGATACCACAGGCACGTGCCACCATGTCTGGCTAATTTTTTAATTTTTTATAGAGATGGGATCTTGCTCTGTTGCCCAAGCTGTTCTAGAACTCCTGGACTCAAGCAATCTTTCTGACTTGGGCTCCAAAGCACAAGATAGCATATACTATCTTGATTATTGTAGTTTTGTAATAAGTTTTGAAATCAGAAAGTATGAGTCATTCAAATTTGATCTTTTCATGACAATTTTGCTATTCTGGGTCCCTTGAATTTCATATGAATATTAGGATAAGCTTGCCAATTCCTGCAAAGAAGCCAGCTGGGTTTTTGATAAGGATTGAATTGCATCTGAGATCATTTTGGAGAGTATTACCATTTTAACAATATTAAGTCTTTTGATTTATGAACATGGATGTCTTTCCTTTTATTTAGTTTTTCTTCACTTTGTTCAACAATGTTTTATAAGTTTTAGTTTTTCTTGTCCTTTTTGGTTAAATTCATTCTGATGTATTTCATTCCTTTTGGTGCTATTGTAAGTTGAATTGTTTTTCTTAATTTCATGTCCAGGCTGTTTATTGCTAGTGTGTAGAAATACAATTGATTTCTGGATATGCTCTTGTATTCTATAACCTGCTGACGCATAATCTCATAGGTTTTTTATAGATTCTAAGATTTCCTATATGTAGATCCTATCGTCTACAAGTAAAGATTGTTTTACTTTTTAAATCTGGATTAAATTTGGATGCCTTTTATTTCATTTTTTCCCTAATTGCCATGGCTAGCATATCCAGTATAATGTTAGATAGAAGTGGCAAAATGGACTTTCCATGTCTTGCTATAAAGCATAAGGATTTTAATCTCATTTCTGACAAGTTTAATTTGGTCACAAAGTTTAAACTTTCACTGTCTGTATGACCCTATTTGGGTCTATGTAATATAGAAAGTGAATTTTTAAAGTCATTTTCTATTGCTAATTTTTCTATATGGCTATGAAATGAATAGGTTTTAGTTCCAAAGTAAGTCTTATTAATTAACCTTGGTTTTGGTTCATAATCTGAAATTTTATTGTTCTTTAGAGCAATAAAACTAAAAGTTTCTACATTATAAATCCAGACCTAAAGATAATGTAAAACATGTTTGTGTCTTATAGAGTTTTTTGAGTAGCATGGGATTAAAAAGCAAACTGTAGTTCTAATACATTAATAGAAATGAAAGATAAACAATATGGGGTGAGCCCTGAGGTCCCTTCATTCTTGTCAAGGGGCATTATGTGGGAGAGCAAAGGTTAGTTCTCCTTAGTTATAAACATAACCCAGAGCATCCTAATTTATCTTACTAAGTTGTGGATCTTTTGGACCATATTAAATATATATCTTTTTTTTTTTTTTTTTTTTTTTTTGAGACAGAATCTTACTTTTTTGCCCAGGCTAGAGTGCTGTGGCATCAGCCTAGCTCACAGCAACCTCAACTCCCGTGCTCAGGCAATCCTCCTGCCTCAGCTCCAGAGTAGCTGGAACTATAGGCATGTGCCACCATGCCTGGCTAATTTTTTTTTCTATATGTTTTTTTTTTTTTTTTTTGAGACAGAGTCTCGCTTTGTTGCCCAGGCTAGAGTGAGTGCCGTGGCGTCCTAGCTCACAGCAACCTCAAACTCCTGGGCTCGAGTGATCCTTCTGCCTCAGCCTCCCGGTAGCTGGGACTACAGGCATGCGCCACCATGCCGGCTATTTTTTATATATATATCAGTTGGCCAATTAATTTCTTTCTATTTATAGTAGAGACGGGTCTCGCTCTTGCTCAGGCTGGTTTTGAACTCCTGACCTGAGCAATCCGCCGCCTCGGCCTCCCAAGAGCTAGGATTACAGGCGTGAGCCACAGCGCCCGGCCTATATGTTTTTATTTGGCCAATTAATTTCTATTTTTAGTAGAGATGGGTTTCGCTGTTGCTCAGGCTGGTTTCAAACTCCTGACCTTGAGACAATACGCCTGCCTCGGCCTCCCAGAGTGCTAGGATTACAGGTGTGAGCCACTGCGCCCGCTGTATTAATATTTATCTTTTATAATATTTTTTCATCTATGTCAGCTTTGTGATATAGTCTGTAATTTCAGATGGATCAAATAGCCTTCAAATTTAATCTGGCTGTTCACTTTCAAAGAATTATCCTTGGTTTTAGTATTTCAGAATTTCATTTAAGTTCATATCCACGAATATACATTGACTGTTTATTAAGTACTGCATTATAACTGGGTACTAGGATGAGAAGCTCATTAAGTCCCTGTCCTCAAAAAGTTCACTTTCTAGCATTGATGAATAATCACTGTTCACTTTTTATGATTTTAAAACTTTGTTAATCATATGCTTTATTAACAGATTGATAATCCATTCTTTTATTACTGGCTACTTGTTCTTTTCTCTCCTAATTACTTTTTTTTTTTTTTTTTGAGACAGAGTCTTGCTTTGTTGCCCAGGCTAGAGTGAGTGCCGTGGCGTCAGCCTAGCTTACAGCAACCTCAAACTCCTGGCTCAAGCAATCCTCCTGCCTCAGCCTCCCAAGTAGCTGGGACTACAGGCATTTGCCACCATGCCGGCTAATTTTTTGTATATATATAGTTGGCCAATTAATTTCTTTCTATTTATAGTAGAGACGGGGTCTCGCTCTTGCTCAGGCTGGTTTCGAACTCCTGACCTGGAGCAATCCGCCCGCCTCGGCCTCCCAGAGAGCTAGGAGTACAGGCGTGAGCCACCGCGCCCGGCCTCCTAATTACTTCTTAAGACCTTTATTAGCTTTCCTGTTTTCTGGGTATAGACATTTTTCCTGAAGTAGGATACTACTAGTCATTTTGGCTATAGCAGCTTATGCAAATTTCTTCAGGGAACATTGTATACCAGGAGTTAGCAAACTTTTTGTGTGAAAGGCCAGAGAGTAAATATTTTTGGCCTTGTGGACCACACAATATCTCTTCTTTTGACATATGTTTCGTTTTGGTTGTTTTTTAAAATAACCTTTAATGTGGAAAAAAATCATTGTTTGTTCTCAGACTATAGACAAACAGGCTATAGTTCCCAACCCCTGATCTAGCACACCTTTTTGAAAATGTGTTCTGCAGATTGCTAACTGCACTGTGTGGTCCTTGAGGAAAGGATTCCATGGTCAAATAAATTTGGCAAGTGTTGTATGATATATGATTCTTTTGGAAATTTTTAAGACTGATTAGCATATTAAAGTCTTTAAAAAGCCCTTTGGCATATAAGCTTCTTTTTGCTTGGAGCTTTGTGATTCTTTTGTTTTATTTATTTTTGAGTATGTTACCTATTTGTATTCCATAGACATAGTTTCTTGGCATGTTGACTTATATGTGATTTCTGAATCATGTCCTGATCATATGTTATAATCAAACATGTTTGTTTTTTTTACTTTTTTTGGTTTGTTATGCAGTAGGAACAAACATTTTTTTTTTGTTTGTTTGTTTGTTTGTTTGTTTTTTTTTGAGACAGAGTCTCGCTTTGTTGCCCAGGCTACAGTGAGTGCCGTGGCATCAGCCTAGCTCACAGCAACCTCAAACTCCTAGGCTCAAGCAATCCTCCTGCCTCAGCCTCCCGAGTAGCTGGGACTACAGGCATGCGCCACCATGCCCGGCTAATTTTTTCTATATATATTAGTTGGCCAATTAATTTTTCTATTTATAGTAGAGACGGGGTCTCGCTCTTGCTCAGGTTGGTTTCGAACTCCTGAACTCAAACGATCCGCCCGGCTCGGCCTCCCAGAGAGCTAGGATTACAGGCGTGAGCCACCGCGCCCGGCCCAAACATGTTTTTTGATTATTTTCTTCTAAATGTACTTTGTCCATGACTACTAAGAAGTTCATTTAAAAATATTCTATATACTTACTGGATTGTGAGTTTTAAATTTAGACATGTAAAAAGAACTGGAATATCTGATTTCTTAGCAGTTTTCTCTATCATTTTATAACACTGCTAACATATTTTTTTCCTTCTCTTAACCAGGAAAAGTGGGTTGAAGTTGCCTCAATGAAAGTGCCAAGAGCAGGCATGTGTGTTGTGGCAGTCAATGGTCTTCTGTATGTTTCTGGAGGTCGATCTTCCAGCCATGATTTCTTGGCCCCAGGTACCTTGGACTCAGTCGAAGTTTATAACCCTCATTCAGATACATGGACAGAAATTGGTAACATGATCACCAGTCGTTGTGAAGGGGGTGTTGCTGTACTATGAAATATAAAGCATGAGAGCACAAGGAACATTTTGAAAATGTAAGATCTGATCTTTTGCAAAGCAGACATATATTTGGTGATAGTATCCTAATTCTATTGTGTTTTCCATGTGTTTGGTAGATAAATGACAAAATGAGTGATTTTTCTAAAAATTTTATTGAAAAGGGATATGAAATATATCCTAAATTAACAAAGAGCTCACACAAATTTGCCACACTTATGAACAGTAGAAATGCTGTTTATGCTTTAGAATTGTCCATTTAAGCATATAGTTCTATTTGTAAAAATGACTTGCTAGAAGCTTCTTCAAAAATAGCCCCTTTAAAGCTTCTCCAGTACAAGTTGTACCAGGACCTTTATATGATGTAGGAATAATATCAATGAGACAGTTTAAAGATTTCTATACATTCATCATTCAATGCAGGGTGTACTTCTCCATGGCCATAGTTTGACCTACACAGAAGAGCCAATAAAACAACTTCCTACTTTTATTTGATGCCAGTTTTCACTAGCCCCAGACTTTTTATTGGCAGCAGATATACTAGGAGAGGGTGTGTTTTGTTTGTTGATAGCAGCCTAAGAAAACTTCTGCTTGCTTATAATTTTTGTCTTGATCCTGAGAGTGCAAGTAAGGAATTAATAGGAGGTTCTTAGTGACAGTCCTTGACTGTAATAGGATCTTATAATGGGTGATAGAGCCCAGCAGGAAGCATGCACCTAGAAATTTCTTCCTTATTTTCTAGATAGTTACCAAAAGTATCTGTTTGGCTTTAGGAGGAGGGAATTTTATTAGATTATCCAGCCTTGTGAAATTTACGTATACTTGGGCAAAGCTAAATGTAACCATACTATAAAGCTGTTACCTGGCTTGAGGAAGCCTGAATGCTAGGTACCTGTATAAAACTGTTTATAGACACTGACTCATAAGTGTAATTTGTAAGGCCCCCTTTATCTAAAACTGCTTCTCAAAACTTATTTTCTCCCTGAGAAGCAATCAAAGGATTGTTCTTTGTTTAGTTCTGAGACAAAGATTCATCATGTGTATGATCCTTACTTTTAAGTTATTTCTACTGGCCTGTTGGAGCCATGTATTAAAGGTCTTGCATAAATTAAGGTTTAACTAGTTGATATAAAGATTTGATTTCCCATTTCTTTAATAAGGTCCTTCAGTATATTATTATAAGCAATAGCAACTTGTTTAGACAGAAAAACCTTTGGTTGCATTAATGACGTAGGTAGCACTCATATCCACAGTATTTGGTTGGCTCACAAGGATACTTTCTTTTATAACTTAACCATATACATATATTACGAAAAACTTATGTAGTGTAGACAGAAAGCTCTGTGTCCCCTTCTCTAGGGTATTCTGAAAGTCTGAAGGGTCACAGATGCCTCGTAGAGATCTGTAAGATATCAAAAAGTATAAAGATAATTTGTATACTAAGCTCTAACTCATATGCCTTTAATATTTCTAGTTACAGAGAATCTGTATTGATTTGAAACAGATTTACAAAATACCCCTATAATTTAATTCTCATTATTGTCTAGTACCAACTGAAAATGGCACTGTGAAGGGAGGTGTTTTGCACTACTGTGGCAGAAATATAATGTCAAGACAATCAGTGTTTGGGTTTAACAGGTCCAGACGATCCCTGAACATAGGTTAACTGTAAATATGCTTATTATTTCTTTGGTAATGACAGATTGTTTTTTAAAAGAATGTACTAATAAAGTATATTGATTCTTTTCTTTGTATTATTAGTTTATCAGCAGCATTCCTGGATTACCAAACTGTAGTAGGATTGCATAAATTTTAGTTTAATTTTAGGGATTTGCACATTTAGTTTTACATATAATTCTGTTTTCTGAGCAACTATTAAAGTGATCTTCCTCCAATATATTTCTAAATATACTGCCCAATACACTTAATCAAATGTACTTAGAAATCAGTTTTCTTGAAGAAGCATACACTGTAATTCACTTGCAAAATAGAATTTTTTTTTAAAGCAAAATCAGTTAATTAACCTAAAAATAGACTTGTTCCTATTGTAGAACATAATGCATTTAATTTGGATTAGGGATAAGTTTTAAGTTTGTATAGTACTCATGCAATTTAGAAGCAAAGGACTTATCAAAACAGTCTGAGTAGAATCTGAGATCTGAAGAGTATGAGATTTCTTCCATACCAGCCTGTAGACTACTGTCTATATTAAGGAAAGATCCTAGCTGGGCAGAGTGGCACGCGTCTGTTACCCAGCTACTCAGGAGGCCGAGGCAGGAGGGTTGCTTGAGGCCAGGAGTTTGAGGCCAGCCTGAATAATAAATACATCAAGACACCATTTCTTTAAAAACAAACAAACAAAAGATTCTGTAGTTGTTTCAGCCATAGACTAACTGGTAAGCTTCTCAATGATCAGAATGAAGTCTAGCTCTGTGTTGTATTAGTTTGTTAATGCTAACAAAATACCACACAAATTCAAACAGAAATTTATTGTCTCATAGTTCTGGAAGCTAGAAATATGAAATTCAGGTGTTGGCAGGCTGTGAGGGAAGGATTTGTTTGATGCCTCTCTCCTTGTCTATCTTCACATTCTCTTGACATTCCCTGTATGTATGGCTATCTCCAAATCTTTTCTTTTTATAAGAACACAAGTCATATTGGATTGGAGCCCAACCCATCACCTCATATTAACCTTATTACCCTCTGTAAAGGCCTTATCTCCATGCCTGTAATCCTAGCACTTTGGGAAGCTGAGGAGGGCAGATCACTCAAGGTCCAGGAGTTTGAAACCAGCCTGAGCAAGAGCGAGACCCCATCTCTAGTAAAAATAGAAAGAAATTAATTGGCCAACTAAAAATATATAAAGAAAAAATTAGCTGGGCATGGTGGCGCATGCCTATAGTCCCAGCTACTTGGGAGGTTGATGCAGAAGGATTGCTTGAGCCCAGGAGTTTGAGGTTTTTTTTTTTTTTTTGAGACAGATCTTATTTTGCCCAGGCTAGAGTGCTGCTCAGCCTAGCTCACAGCAACCTCAAACTCCGTGCTCAGGCAATCCTCCTGCCTCAGCTCCAGAGTAGCTGGAACTATAGGCATGTGCACCGATGCCTGGCTAATTTTTTTCTATATTTTTTTTTTTTTTTTTTTTTTGAGACAGAGTCTCGCTTTGTTGCCCAGGCTAGAGTGAGTGCCGTGGCGTCCTAGCTCACAGCAACCTCAAACTCCTGGGCTCGAGTGATCCTTCTGCCTCAGCCTCCCGGGTAGCTGGGACTACAGGCATGCGCCACCATGCCCGGCTAATTTTTATATATATATCAGTTGGCCAATTAATTTCTTTTATTATAGTAGAGGGGTCTCGCTCTTGCTCAGGCTGGTTTGAACTCCTGCCTTGAGCAATCCGCCCGCCTCGGCCCTCCAAGGCTAGGATTACAGGCGTGAGCCACAGCGCCCGCGCTTATGTTTTATTTGGCCAATTAATTCTATTTTTAGTAGAGATGGGTTTCGCTGTTGCTCAGGCTGGTTTCAAACTCCTGACTTGGAGCAATAGCCTGCCTCGGCCTCCCAGAGTGCTAGGATTACAGGTGTGAGCCACTGCGGCCCGGCTGTATAATATTATCTTTTATATATTTTTTCATCTATGTCAGCTTTGTGATATAGTCTGTAATTTCAGATGGATCAAATAGCTTCAATTAATCTGGGCTGTTCACTTTCAAAGATTATCCTTGGTTTTAGTATTTCAGAATTCATTTAAGTTCATATCCACGAATATACAGTTGACTGTTTTGTATAAGTCTGCATTATAACTGGGGTACTAGGATGGAGAAGCTCATTAAGTCCCTGTCCTCAAAGGTTCACTTTCTAGCATTGATGATAATCACTGTTCACTTTTAGATATTTAAAACTTTGTTTAATCATATGCTTTATTAACAGATGATAATCCATTTTTATTACCTGGCTACTTGTCTTCTTCTAATTCTTTCTTTTTTTTTTTTTTTTTTTTTTTGAGACAGAGTCTTGCTTTGTTGCCCAGGGCTAGAGTGAGTGCCGTGGCGTCACTAGCTTACGCAACCTCAAACTCCTGGCTCAAGCAATCGTCTCTGCCTTCACTCCCAAGTAGCTGGGACTACAGGCATTTGCACCATGCCGGCTAATTTTTGATATATATATTAGTTGGCCAATTAATTTCTTTCTATTTATTAGAGACGGGTCGTCGCTCTTGCTCAGGCTGGTTTCGAACTCCTGACCTGGAGCAATCCGCCCGCCTCGGCCTCCAGAGAGCTAGGAGTACAGGCGTGAGCCACCGCGCGCGGCCTCCTAATTACTTCCTTAAGACCTTTTCTGGTATAGAACATTTCCTGAAGTAGATACTACTAGTCATTTGGTATAGCAGCTTATGCAAATTTCTTCAGGGAACATTGATACCAGAGTTAGCAACTTTTTTGTGTGAAAGGCCGCAGAGAGTAAATATTTTTGGCCTTGTGGACCACACTATCTCTTCTTTTGACATATGTTTCGTTTTGTTGTTTTAAATAACTTTTATGTGGAAAAAATCATTGTTTGTTCTCAGACTATAGACAAACAGGTATAGTTCCCAACCCCTGATCTAGCACACTTTTGAAAATGTGTTCTGCAGATTGTCTAACTGCACTGTGTGGTCCTTGAGGAAGGATTCCATGGTCAAATAAATTTGGCAAGTGTTGTATATATATGATTCTTTTGGAAATTTTTAAGACTGATTAGCATATTAAAGTCTTTAAAAGCCCTTTGCATATAAGCTTCTTTTGCTTGGAGCTTTGTGATTCTTTGTTTTATTTATTTTTGAGTATGTTACTATTGTGATTCCATAGACTAGTTTCTTGCATGTTGCTTATATGTGATTTCTGAATCATGTCTGATCATATGTTATAATCAAACATGTTTGTTTTTTTTACTTTTTTTGGTTTGTTATGCAGTAGGAACAAACATTTTTTTTTTGTTTGTTTGTTTTTTTTGTTTTTTTTTTGAGACAGAGTCTCGCTTGTTGCCCAGGCTACAGTGAGTGCCGTGGCATCAGCCTAGCTCACAGCAACCTCAAACTCCTAGGCTCAAGCATCCTCCTGCCTCAGCCTCCCGAGTAGCTGGGACTACAGGCATGCGCCACATGCCGGCTAATTTTTTCTATATATATTAGTTGGCCAATTAATTTTTCTATTTATAGTAGAGACGGGGTCTGCTCTTGCTCAGGTTGGTGTTTCGAACTCCTGAACTCAAACGATGCCCGGCTCGGCCTCCCAGAGAGCTAGATTACAGGCGTGACACCCGCGCCCGGCCAACATGTTTTTGATTATTTTCTTCTAAATTACTTTGCCATGACTACTAGAAGTTCATTTAAAAATATTCTATATACTTACTGGATGTTGAGTTTTAAATTTAGACATGTAAAAAGAACTGGAATATCTGATTTCTTTGCAGTTTTCTCTATCATTTTGTAACACTGCTAACATATTTTTTCCTTCTCTTAACCAGGAAAAGTGGGTTGAAGTTGCCTCAATGAAAGTGCCAAGAGCAGGCATGTGTGTTGTGCAGTCAATGGTCTTCTGTATGTTTCTGGAGGTCGATCTTCCAGCCATGATTCTTGGCCCAGGTACCTTGGACTCAGTCGAAGTTTATACCCTCATTCAGATACATGGACAGAAATTGTAACATGATCACCAGTCGTTGTGAAGGGTGTTGCTGTACTATGAAATTAAAGCATGAGAGCACAAGGAACATTTTGAAAATGTAAGATCTGATCTTTTGCAAAGCAGACTATATTGGTGATAGTATCTAATTCTATTGTGTTTTCCATGTGTTTGGTAGATAAATGACAAAATGAGTGGTTTTTCTAAAATTTTATTGAAAAGGGATATGAAATATATCCTAAATTAACAAGAGCTCACACAAATTTGCCACACTTATGACAGTAGAAATGCTGTTTATGCTTTAGAATTGTCCATTTAAGCATATAGTTCTATTTGTAAAATGACTTGCTAGAAGCTTCTTCAAAATAGCCCTTTAAAGCTTCTCCAGTACAAGTTGTACCAGGACCTTATATGATGTAGGAATATATCAATGAGACAGTTTAAAGATTTCTATACATTCATCATTCAATGCAGGGTGTACTTCTCATGGCCATAGTGTTGACCTACACAGAAAAGCCAATAAACATGCACTTCCGGGTAGCTGGGACTACAGGCATGAGCCACCATGCCTGGCTAATTTTTTCTACATATTTTTAGTTGGCTAATTAATTTCTTTCGATTTTATAGTAGAGATGGGGTCTCGCTCTTGCTCAGGCTGGTTTTGAACTGCTGACCTCGAGCGATCTGCCCGCCTCAGCCTCCCAGAGTGCTAGGATTACAGGTGTGAGCCACCGCGCCCAGCCTGAATCTTCTACTATAGCTGTTCTAGTAGGTATAAATTGGTATCTCATTGTGGTTTTGATTTGCATTTCTCTGATGGCTAATGATGTTGAGCATCTTTTCTTGTGTTTATTGGTCATTTTTATGTCTTCTTTGAAAAAATGTCTATTTTTGTCCATTTAAAAATTGGATTATTTGTCCTTTTATTATTTATTATGAGATTTCTTTATATAATCTAGAAGCAAGTTTGTTGTCAGGTATGTAATTTGCAAAAGTTTCTCCATTTTATGGGTTTTCTTCACTTTCTTGATGGTATTCTTTCTTAGAAGCACAAAATTTAAAATTTTGATGTCCAGTCCATTTTTTCTTTTGTCATT